TAAGCGTAGTTTCTAAGAACCGCATTGCTCAATGTTTTTATTACATATGTACTCAATTTATTTTTAGTGTTGAAAAAGATCCACATGATACTAGTCAGAAGGCTAAAGAATCTCAGGATACAAGTCATAAAATATTAGAGCTACAAAAGAAATTAGATTCTGCAAGAGCACAGGTGAAACATTGGGATGTTAAATCCTTAGAAATATTTATTAATAATATATCTTAGTAATATGTTTAAGTTAGAATACCTTATGCAAGTTACATAGTAACCATTTAAGAAATACTGCTATGTAAAAGTATATTGAATGTGATATTAAGTGATAGGCATATACTTTCAATATAACTATATTATAATTATATTTTATAATTTATATAATAAATTATTCATATTTTACAGATCAAAAGATTACCAGGAATAGAATATAGTAAGGAAGAACAATTAAGAAAGCTCGAAACTCTTCGCAAACAACTTAGATTGAAACGAGAGCTTTTATTGAAATATCGTAATATGTGTACATTTGAAGTTCCAAAAGTATAAATATTTATTTGATTCTTGAAAAAAAGAATTATATTAATATGGGCATTTTGCGCATATTATTGTCATACCTAATGCGCAATGAACAATTAATTAATAAATTAGCAGATTCAAAACCAATTAGACGATCTGCGCAGTTTGTAGCATATTTAATACTTCAATCCAAAACACATGGCATTCCTATGCCTTTCAACCACGAAAAATTTATTAAAGGATTAAGAAATTTTACACAAACATATAAAGAAAAGTTAAAAGAAGTAAAAGATGATATGAAAAAAAATTCACCAAAATAGTCTTTATAAAAATGTGACATACAGTAATTCGCGTTAGCTGACCGCGGCTCGGGACCTCATATAACCAGCAATAAAGGGAGGTAGAGTTTTAGGAAATCCCGGGTATGTTTCTTCTCCATTGAGTGCGAGTGGGATACGGATACCTAATACGAAATATCAAGGTCCTTGGTTAGTTTAGACAGGTAACGCTGGAGGCTCACTTAACGAAGTTCAGTTCTAAGAACTGGTGGAAATAGCGACGGCCAGCTAGCAAAGTGAAATACCGGTCAGCTAACGTAACAGTACTGTATATACCTATAATTTATTATGAAAACTTAGGTATAAAAAGTTACATCTGTAATAATTGCATTACAAGTAATAAAAAATAAAAGTATTTAGTTCTATATTCATTTACCCTATATTTTATAATAAATAAAAAGGGTATATTAGATTAAATATATATATGAGATATGATGAAAACTGTTATACATTTGAATTACTACAATATTGTTTAGAATCAACTATTTTTAGTAAAAAGTATAATTTAATGATCGTGTATATATTATTTTTCTTTCCAGCCTCCTTTTTTCTTTCACACTATTCTTGTTGTTACTGTATTTGTGATGCTTCTAATATTTTCTCTATTCTTATGACCTATAATGACTTTATATGTTATACCTATAATGACTTTTCCGAATGATGCAAAAATTTATATATTTATTGATAAAAGTTCCATGATTGCTGAAAAAATGTATTGCAACGAATATCTTAATCGAATACAACCGCAGCGAACATACTTAAAAAAAATAAAAGAGACTTTCAAAGATTATAGTTTATTTAGACAACAAAGAAAGACTAAAAAATAATTATGCAAATATTAGCAAATAGAAGCATTGCCTAATATAAAGCTCAATTCTATTTGCTCCAATATAAGAAATAGTGAGTGAACATAGTTTCAGCTAAAGTTTGGCTTTTCAAAATTTGAAATTCTAAAAATTTTATTCATATCATTACTCTGCTGTGATAAATTTGGCGATTAGCGTCTTTTAACAAATTCTATGAATGTAATTTTTGTTTTCACGAATTTCGATTCAGTATTCGCTAAATGTAAAAAAAAAAACAAATATGCGTTTTGTGTACAGACTATATTTACTTGATATTATTTTAAGATACACACGTGTTTATAAAAATAGAACACTTTATGAATAACAACGTATATTTTTTCATACGTTTTAAAAACATTTTAAATTTCCAATAATTTAGTCAAAATGTGAAAGACAATTTGTACTCTAATAGGGTTGAAAGCACAATGTGCGTTGTATGTAATAGTTTAGGGGTTCTTCCTATGTATTCTAGGGCAAAGATCACAATCCTTACGAATATAAGTGACCCCACAATACGTGAAATCTCCATTATTATATGAGATAATTTTATACATATTTTAATATAAATAACTACTAAAATAATACATATTTTATATATACACAGAATGTTTTAAAACTCAGAAGGTTAATTAAAAAATATTATTTCCACATCATTTTTTATTTGCACTTGGAATATTAAAAAAAGAGATTGTTTAAGGACAAAGAAATTGCTATTATCAATTTCTAAGAGTTTTAAAACAATCTATATATGGAGTGTATATGCATATATACATGTATAAAGATTTTGTACACAAAACTTAGTTTATAGTTTTGTAGGAGGATTTTATTCTGACAGAGGTTGAATAATACTGTTTGCAGTATTATGAGATCGTCCTCCCCTTCGTCCTCTATTTTTTTTATTTTGACTTTTGTTAGGCTTTTGAAGCAAATTCTCTTGTTTTGGTGTTTGTTCTTCGAATGAAGAATTTATTTCCGTTGCATCTAATGACTAGTGCAAAAATTTGTATTTATCACTATGTATAATCTTTATATTTTTATATAAGAATAATATTTTCATTACGCACTTGTATTGTAGATGAAGAGCTCTGTCGATTTTGAGATGTTTTATTCGATTTATTGGCTCTACACGTTTGTGTAATTGTAGTATTAGTATATGGAATAAGTTTTACTACATTGCCTACTGCTTTAGTACGTCCTTCTCTAAATACCATTCTTTGTCCTGGTTTTATATATTCAGGATGCTTTATAAATCTGAAGCGTACTAAAGCTTTATCTCCTGTTCTTAAACAATCTTGCGACATAGAAATTATGGATGCCGTTTGTCTTATACTTCCACAATGCACTGAAAATGATTTGAAATGATATTAAGCATAAAAATATTAAAAATTATAAATCAAGATTCAAATAAAGAAGAGAATTACCCATTGCTTGATAACAAGAACTTATTGTTGTAGGGTGATGCAATACAAGAATTTCCCCCTCAAATTCCCAACAAGCTTGTGGATTTAACGCTGGTGCTACCATTACCATACCCTTCCTAATTTGCGACCTTTTAATTTTTTTCAATGCAAAACTAGCAGTCTGACCACCTCTCACTTCACGAACAGGCATTCTCTTCCTATGTATACTTTTTACTGCAATTGGAATGAAACGACCTAATGGATCAGGTCCTAATAATAAAGTATCATTTAATTTTATGACACCTTTTAATGTTGTGCCAGAAACTACAGTACCAACCCCCTGAAAAAATTAAAAATTAAAATTAAAATAATATTTGAATTAAAAGTAGAGTTTTCGTTAATGTGATGATATACTTACTGGTACTGAGTATGTATCATCTATTTGGAACTCTGCTGGTTCATCTTCGTGACTAGTCATTCTTGCAGTCAATAAATTTAAAAACATTTTAAGGAGATTTAAATTTTCTCCTGTTACGTTTGATACTTGAAAGATGGGGCATAACCTGTATAAATACACCAATTATTGAAATACTTGTATATTACGAATAACGTAATAACGTGAAGAATAAAAACTGACCGTTCAGATACAAAATTAGTAGCACTAACGACAACATCGTCAGGTGTCTTCACAGTAACGGGTACTTTTCTACAACCCGGAGACTTTAAGATCCTTATCAGCAGTCTTAAATTTTCTTGCAATATATTTGGTGGGCACATGTCAATTTTTGTAACTACAACAAATACTGGAACTGACAGAGCTAAAGCTAAACCAAGATGTTCTTTTGTCATTCCAACAATACCAGCATTTGCTCCAA